TCTGATTCGAATTTTGAAAAACTCGCTTCGAGGTGCGCTGGCTCTTGTCTAGATACACCTATGTACCAAATTTCGTATCCCTTGGTCTAATTGCTTACGCGCAGCACGAACAAAAGACACAGAGACAGACTCTTTCTTTTATTATATGTAGAGATAATTAGAAACATACGAAAACTTCCTTTCGCAGGATCCCAATTAAGAAAAAATGATATTAACAGTTGATTAACTAAAATGTCTGCACAAAATTTCATTTACATACTGTGCATATTCATATTGTTCGTGGAAATTATTTGCTCGATGCTATACCTCTTGTCTTAACACTTAAAGGGGAAATACTTCGTCTCATCATTTCTAGCAAACAAATTGATTTCTGTTTCAGCCGAAAAAATCGCAGACGAAAACGTCGTCGGAGAATAGAAAGCAAAGAGAAGACGTCGCAGTTCTGAAACATCGTGGTACAAAATATCTTCGTCGAAAATAAAGCGGTTAAAAAATTTCGCAGTTTAAACACAGCGTCGTCGAAAATATCGCGGTAAAAAATAAAGTACCTACAAGTTATCGCATGACTATAACATCGCACACATGCGTTTCTCAGGTTTTAAACGCTGTAAATGCATTTTCGAATGATTTGGTATCGCAAGGAGGAAAGAGAATGAAAATGATAACGACACTTTAATAAAAAACGGAAAGAAAAGAAGATATAATTTTCGCTAAAACAATTATTAATTTTCTTTTCATTTTCAGGTTTTAAATGCTTAAGTTTCCTTTTTTAATTTTTCAGCAAAAAGTTATTAATTCATTCAAAAATGAGAAATGTAGAAGCAAAAACATCCCTCTTTCCTTCTTGCGCTCCCAAATCATTATGCGAAAAATGCACTTGCTTTTAAAACCTGAAAAACGCAAGTGTGCGATGCTATCGTCACGCGATGATTTGTAGGTACTTTATTTTTTATCGCCATGTTTTTGTCGACGATGTTTTTAAACTGCGAAGTTTTTCAATCGATTTGTTTTCGACCAAGATATTTTGTACCATGGTGTTTTAGAACTGCGACGTTTTCTCTTTGCTTTCTTTTCTCCCACGATGTTTTGTGCTATGACGTTTTCGATTTACGTCTTGCGGACACCTGATTTTGCCATGTGCATCAGAAAGTTTATCATGTAAGATTGCGTAAATTTACTCCAGAAAGTGACAGGCAGATATGCACCGTCACTGATGCTGCGACTTCAGTTTCTCACTCCAAAGGGGAATTTGTCCTGAAGGACTATTAATTTCGTTTTGGCGTTTTGCTTTGATTTACTATAAATGTCGGTTCACTTTTCAAATTGTTGCCACCAAATATTACAGCCCTGCGTTATAATTAAAGAAATTAAACAATGAAGAATCTCCATAAATGTATTTGTTTCTGACATTGTGATAAAACAACGGTATATAGAACCGTCCAACTTTGAATAACGTAATTTTCCATCGAATATGGTCATTTGGAAGCCCTAACTGGAATTCGAAATTGATTTTATTATCGATTTTATATTTTGTAAAACGGTAAAGAATTTTGATTAACAAACTCAACGATTCCAAAGCGAGCCATGACAAAACTGTACGCGAGGGGGATATTTTTATCTCCAGCCCGCGAGACTGTGTATCGGAAATTTTACAGATACGCTCATTGTAAAATTATTTTGCGATATTGCTCTTGAACTGAATTTTATGATTCAAGTGCGAAGAACATGATATTTAATAAATAAAGGTAACACACAAAATGTTAAGAAAAACGCCGCTTTGGATGTAATTTAAACCTTTCAGATTTTTTTTTTTTTTTTTTTTTTTTTTTTGTTTTGTTAAGTATTTATTCAAATGCAAGGCACATGTGGTTTAAATAAACGTATTTTAATTGAGGAATTTTATACAGTTCAATTTTTTTAAACATGTAACTTACTTGAGCCCAGAACCTTTTGGGACAGAGAAACTTTTGGGAAACTTCTGGGAACGTTATATAATCAAATCAGTATTGCTGAATTTTTTCCCTAAATAGGAAAATAATCTGCAGTTAAAATTACCTATGTTAAAAGTAGCAGAGTTATATATTGTTTAAAAAATAACTCGTTATATTATATTTGTTAGAAATTTCATGTTCCTGCGAGGATGCATGTGCGCAAATGCCACTTATGCGGAAGTGCCATTCGCACCAAGTGTCACATCAGCATCTGAACGAAGTTTAAGTAGCGAATTTAATTATCTCTGGAAGATATGTTCACATTATTCTCAACTAGTCGGAACCAGTACTACATTAATTCATCTACAAGGCAGTTACCTCAACATGTTTGAACTTTGGGAATAAACTTGCTTTAGATAAAATAATGAAAATAATTTTATCATTTTTCACGAAATTGCCGTTAAATATTTATTGTTACGGAAACGCCCTCTATGTCCCTACGACTAGTTTTCTAGATCAAAAATGTTTTAATAATGTAACAAATAACAAGTGAATCCCGCTGTAAGAGCTTCAAAGGACCGAAATTATGGTTCACTGTATCCGTACTGATAAAAAATATATATATTATATCACAAAAGTATAAACCTGTGAAGGTTCTCAAGCGCTTAAGGGATCATTTGCGACTATATAAACTTCTAAAGTTTTTATGATTTTAGATCGCGTAGTGAATGGACAGATTATGCATAAATTTTGATAACTATTGGTTTCTCTGAAACGTTGTAGTTATTTGATTATTTGAAAGCAGGAGACATGAAAAATTAGCACTGCCCTCGCCGGGACTCGAACCATGGACCTCTCGAATTCGCGTCGAGCGTGTCGACCACTACACCACGAAAGCATGCTAAGAAGGCGGGAGAAAAAACCTTATATATTCCCCCTTTTAGAGGGCAACTGGAGTTTTAGGGGACCTAGTCGCCAAATTCACCACCTGTTTTAGTTCGGGCGCCACTGTAGAACTGCCAATTCGAAGCAGGAGAGATGGAACATAAGCAATGTCGTCGCCGGGAATCGAAGCACGGGCCTTTCGAATACTCGCCGAGCGTGCTGAACATTACACCACGAAGGCTACTAAGAAGACAGGAGAAATGCGTTATAAAGTCATGACGCATTTTTCTTATGTTCTTCGGAAGCCTGTTATTTATAAAAGGAGAAATGAGCATTCGATAGTATATTGCCCCATTTTGTTCAATAAATATTTCATTTCTTTTACAATAATGAGCTTTTCTAATCCTCATTAATGAGCCCAGAACCTTTGAACAAAGGGGCTAATTTACGGCTTCGTCTGAATTGAATGTTACACTACGAAAAACGTTTTGCAGAAAGCGAAGCAAGTGAAAATCTTAGAGCACAAGATCAAGCGAATATCATGCGCGTGGCAACACTTTTCACGCAAAATCCAATAATTTTTGTCAGATTATTATTAAACTTGTGTGTGGTCTCGCGTTATCGGCATGGAATGCAGTTTCTATATGATTAATGAGCTCTGGAAGTTTCTGGAATATAGATTTCGTTGAAACTGTCCAATTAGTGATAGCAAACATTCGAAATGATTTTTTCGCTCGTGGGTAGAAGCTTGGAACCAAGACCACACACAGGTTTGATCACTAACAAAAATTATTGGAGTATGGATGAAAAGTGTTGCCACGTGTAACATACTCGCATGATCTTGTGCCCTGAGATTTTCACTTGTTTCTCTCTCTTCAAAATTTCTTACGCGGTATACCATTCAAATCAAACGAGACTGCAAATCAGCCCCTTGTTCGGCATGCCTTATATTTAAAGAAATTAAATAATCTGCACAAATGCATGCACGTGTCTCGCACTGTGATAAAACAACGGTACGTAGAGCCATTCAATTTTGAATAACGTAATCCTCCTCCGAATGTGGGAATCTGGAAGACCGAATTTGGAATTTGTTTTATTATCCATTTCATACTTTGTAAAATTTTAACGAATGTTTGATTAACAAATTCGAGGATTTCAAAGTGAGCCATGGCAACGTTATACAGAAAAAAAACATTTTTTTATCTCCAGCGCCTGAGGCTGTGTATCGGAAATTTTAAAGATATGCTCATCTCCCGCCTTATAATAATAATTTTCTTAGCATGCATTTGTGGTGTGGTGGTCTGCACTCTAGGCGCGTATTCCAGAGATCCGTGGTTCGATTCCCGGCTAGGGCGTTGCTCATTTTTCATCTCTCCTGCTGTAAAAATAATTTAATGACTGTACAGTGGCGCCCGAACTAAAAGCGAGTGGTGGATGATGGTTCTCCATACCCAGGATTTGGCGATTGGGTCCCTTAAAAACCTTAATCGCCCTTTAAAAGGGGGAGTGTATAAAGTATTTCTCTCGCCTTCTTAGCATACCTTCGTGGTGTGGTGGTCTGCACGCTGAGCGCATATTCCAGAGAAGCGTGGTTCGATTCCCGGCGAAGGTGTTACTCATTTTTCATGACTCTTGCTCCAAAAGAAAATTCGAGCCCATCAGCGGCCAAGAGGTAAAGTCGCTGAACACTGGTAGTTCGGTCCGAGGTTCGAATGCCGCGAACGGGCTGGCTGCATGGGCTGTTTCGTGGTTCTCCCCGTTGTAACGTGTATACGAGCTAGTTTGCCTTAGAAAGTCCTCCACGAAGGCATTCCTCCCCTTTGGCAGATAGCCCTAGCGTGCTTTGCCATAATTAAGTACACATAAAAAAATCGTAATGTTCCTACAAGCTTTTCGCAGATAAAGCCAAATTCTTTTGTTAATGAGGAATTACGAAGCTCCTTAAAAGAAAGCAAACAGTTATCGAGCAAAAAGCACAGCACAATATACTATTACTGCTCATTGTTCCTTATACAAATAAGGGACCTTTGAAGAACACAGAAAAAATTGCGTCATGACTTTTGAGGCAACCCAATTTTTGAAATTCCTATTGTACTTCACTTTTTATATAATCTTATGCTGAAAAAACGTTTCTTTCCTTTATGGAATTGTTTTCTCTAGCATTTTTAATTTATTTTCTTTCAGCGACGAAAACGACGGCTTCTTCATGAGCGGTTTTCCAGCCCCATCCGCTGCTAAAAAACCACTGCCTTCGGATGCTTTGTACGAGGAGAAGTCAATAACTCAACTGTACGAGGCATCTACGCAAGAAAAGATTGTAATTGACGTAAGCAGCCCCCATTTTTATCTTGTAGACTTCCAGGAAGCCATTCAGGGTTGTTAATTTTACTTTCAGACAGAAGTATTTATTGAGTTTTAGAGATTTTTTCGTCATCCGGCGCTAGATTTTGAATGCTTTCAAAATTTCTTTTTATTTTAGATGGAAGGTTTTGACAAAATGGCCTGTCTACTCCCTCAACGATCGGCTACTATAATTTATGCACTACAGCCGGTGAAGGTAAGTTCCTAGCTTTCTGTATTCTGTGAAAATTTCAAATGCGATTTTATGTCAGAATATTATTATCATTATTATCATTAAACGCATTATTTAAAAACGGCTTTTTACTACTATCATTGCATGAGAACGTCCTTGTCAACTAATACACGGGTACAAAACTCCACGTACTCTGGAAACTGTCCACGCTACAACTCGCGATGCACTCGACGATACACTAGAGTACAACTCCCGACTCGGTTCGGTCGTTCTCGGAGCTCAATACACTCTAAGATAAAACTCGACGATGCAGTAACTCGCGATACACTCTCTCGATGCACTGGACGACCAACTCGGCACTAGATTTAGAGACACTTGCTCATTTGACTGACTATCCACTCGCTAGACGAGACACTAACTAACTGACTATCAACTCGATGGTCTCTCACTCGCTCGCTCTGCGTACCAGCAGGGTTTATCTAGCTTTTGGGTTCTGTTCGAGAACATTCTGAGTTAAACGAGTAAGAATTCGTTCCAGATGGTTCTCCATTCGTCTATGGCATATTACCAATTTTGTCGCCAAACGGGCGATTTCTTGCCAAATGTGGCAACCTTGCCTTTTCTTGCCATTTTCTGGCAATCCTAAACCTGCTTTGCGGGGAAGCTAACCCACCGCGCCTGGACATTTCGGAACAATATAGAGTCATTTGCGAAAGTTTAACACCGGTATCCGTTTCCCTGTGTTAACAGAATGCGTGATTTTCGTTCATGATTGCGTTGATTGCATCAGACTCTTTCGGCTGCTATAAATATAACGTCCCTGTCTCGTTAATCAGTAGTTCGTTATTGGATTTTGTGTACACAGTGCTGTTGTATAATTATTGTAATGGGTAAAACACCTTCACTTTCTGTTGAAAACGGATGAAAATGGTGGCCCTGCATGAAGTTGGCTTTTCTGAACGTGAAATAAATTAAGGTAAATCTCAGCAAGACAGTTGTGCATCAATCCATCAGTAAATTGAAAATTTAGGGAAGTTACACGGATCTTAAAAGAAACGGTCTCTCAAGAAAAACTTGTGCACGTGATGATCAGGATGACACTCGACGTCCAACAACCTCCTGCAATAACATTAGAGCTGCTCTGGCTGCAAAGGGTACCAACACTAGTTCGAGTACTATTTCAAGACGTTTGACAGTGTAGAGCAATTTTCTGCACATGCTAAATGTATTCGCCGCCCATTTGGAAAAAGATGTGGTTATAAATGTACGGTTCCAACAGTGAAACACCCTCCAAGCCAGATGATATGGGGTGCAAAGTCTGCGTCTGGTATTACTGCTGTATATTTCCTAACACCTAAAACCACGATGAACGGCAATCGGTACCTTAATTTGTCACATAACAAGTTGAAGAGTCGCATGGATGTTCACAGATGTTCCGTTTTCATGCATGATGGGGCTCCGTTCCACAGGGCAAGGATTGTTAAGGATTATCTGAGGGCTACTCAAATCCAAATGCTTGGTAATGTAACAACCCAGATTTGAATCCCATAGAGAGTCTGTGGTGTATTGTGAAAAATAAAGTCGCGGAGAAGCTACCAATCCTGTGTTTCAGAACTTATTGGAAGCAATAAAGCATGTGTGGTGCACAGAGATTTCTCAAGCTAACTGCCAGTCTCTTGTTCATAGCACGCCTAAAAAGATTGTAGCAGTGCTAAAAAGTAAAGGAGGTCGACAAAATACTGACTCTGCTTCAATATCCTTGTAAGTCTATTTTGTTCATTTATAACGTACTAGAAAGCCTGACGGTCATGCGCAATGACCGCTGTTGTAGATATTATAAATTGTAATTAAAATGATTTGTGCAAATGTGTCTGCTAATTTAAACTGAATTACCCAGGGCAGGCGGCGAGGACGCCTATTTGCTTACTGCCCAAGGGGTTTTCACTTTCTACTTGCTTAATTGCTTAAAGTAGAGTGCAATGAAGGAAACCACTAGCGGTACATTTCTTAAGAGGCCACCGCTAGCGCAATCAATATAGGTGATTTAAATAATGAAATGTTAATTCATATGTCAAAGATATTTTTGTACACAACATTTCTTGTGCAGATCTTTCCATCATTTTTAATCTGCTCGCCTTGCAGAGGACCATCCATTATTTTTAATTTTGCGTCCGTTCTTTCACGAACTCTTGAACAGGCAACATAAAGTTGACCGTGTCCAAATGCAGGTAAAAAAATGCCAATAAGCTTAAGCGTTTGGCCTGAGACTTATGGATGGTCATAGCAAAGGCAAGTTTTACAGGAAATTGTGTAGGTCTCATTTGAAACAGCAACCCTGTGCAATGGCAACTTCACTCCATTGGCTAGTGCAGTTACGCAAGCAATCCATAAACTATCGGCGAGAAACAGACACTTAAGCCGCATATAATAATTTTTTTTTCATTTTATTTGTTTTTACATCGTTGTCGGTTTTTGTCGGTTGCATATTTCCCAATTCTATTATATATAGATGTTAAATTTATTTGTTAAATGTCAAATGCACTTGCTTTTGTATTTTTAATTTTAGCTTAGCTTTCTCATAATATTCGTCACACACTGTACTGCACGGGGAATAAAACAATTTACACTTATGCAAGCAACCAATAAACTATCGGCGACAAACACTTAAGCCACATATATATAAGATAACCGTTATTTATTTCATCAGTTTTAACTTTCACGAAATTAACCGTAATACTTCCGCTTTCAGTTTCTTGGGAAGCCTTCACTTTAATTCGCGGAGTGTTGATGTCATTTTGCAACTGTGAAAATGGACAATCATTAACATAGTGTTTGTGCAAATTATTACCTATCTTGGCGTATATACGAGTAATATGTGGTAAATCATCGACCAACTAATAAGTCACATGGTTGCGTTACATCTCCTACAATTAGAACTGTAATGTCCTTTCCTTCCACATTATGAATCTCTAAATTAACAGTTACTTTTCCTATGTTCTAGCGGCTGGTTTACTCTGGTTTCCAAAGACAAATAATTCTTCCACATCAGGTTTTATAGTAAGATTCAGTTTCCTAGCAACAGATTGTTTCAATCGACACGAAATAGAACCCGCAAGAATTGTAAGAATTGGAGGCTCCCGTCAGCCCACCTGGACACGAGTGTCTCCATAGCTCAAAAGAAGAGGCGCATACGAGGGCAGCCAGTAACCCAGCCACAACAAACAAATATACTAAATCAAAAATAGGTAAGCACATCTAACACAAAATTACAGACCAACAAACAAACAATAAAAAATCCATAAACACAAATTCATAACATTGATTACCACAAAGTTTATTTTCCTGCAGATTAAATCGGTTTAAATAGAACGGAAACCTACCACGTCCAGTTAAAACCTGATTAACATCAATATTGTTCATACATTTCATTTAATTGATTTTAATTAGTTCCATAATCCTTTGTTTTTTGTTTTTAGGTGAAGAGAACCACTGTATTTTCCATTTGTTAACGTAAAATGTTTTCATTCTTCGAACAGTAATTCTCTTCGAACCTCTTACTTCAATATCCATTGCACTGACATTTGAGACCGCCTACTTGGACAGACTGTCGGCCCTCTCATTACCGATAAAGCCTGTATGGGCTTTAACCCAATGTAGCTTAATATTTAAATATGAACTCAAAGTTTCTAAATGACTCTTAATTTCGACAATTAATGGATTGAAATTGTCTGAGCGGGAGAGCGCATGGAGAAGTGACAGGCAGTCAGTGTAAATATTTACAGACGTGGGTATAAACAAGGTATTTTTAATCCATAATAAGGCTTGTTTGAACGCTTCACTTTCTGCTTGGAAAACTGAATTATATATGTTCAACTTGAACATTCTACACTCATGTCCATAAATTAAGGATAATGCAAAATCAGGCAAAGGAAGAGTTAGAAGCAAAACAAATTTGACTTATTTGTAAAGCTTATTTATTAAACAAAAGGTAAAGAGCAAATAAAGATGCTATATGTTTGTTATTATTAAAAAAATTAGCGATTTTTTCTCCCTAGAGCAAATTACAAAAAACACCTATTTACAAAAAACCAATATTACATGGTTGGTATGATTGTTAATACATTGTATGTCTCCCAGACGATGCAATACAGTCCGTACAACGCCTAGGTATGCTGAGTATCAAATTATCGATCTGATATTGGGGGATATTACACCACTCAAAAAGCAATGCTCTCCGAAGTTCCGGTAGACATGTAGGAGGAGGTTGACGGGCTGCAACTCATCGGCCAAGCATATCCCACACGTGCTCTACTGGATTCAACTCCGGTGAGAATGCTGGCCAGTCCATACGGGTGATATCCTCCGATTGAAGGCATTCGCTTACAATGTTTGCATGGTGTGGACGGGCGTTGTCATCCATAGACACAAATTGTGCGCCCATGGCGCCCCGAAACAAACGTGCATGTTGTTCCAGAATGACGTCCCGATAGATTTGGCTTGTCATGGTTCCAATTTGAACATGCAAGTCAGTTCTGGAACCCAGAATAATTCCACCGTAACGGTGTCGTTCAATGATGTTTTCTTGGTGGTAACGGGTACCTGGAGCTCTCTATATGAAAGTCCGGCGAGAATCAGACTGCAAGCTAAACCTGGACTCGTCGGAAAACATCATGCAAGCCCACTCTTGCGGTGTCCACAATGCATGCTCTCTACTCCAGGTTAACCGCAGGCGACAGTGAGTTGCAGTAAGTGGAACGCATCTGACAGGTCTACGAGCATATAGACCAATCTGCCCTAAGCGTCTGTACACGGTCTGCCTTTAAATTGTCGTACCATTGGCTGAAGAGAGCTGACGAGACAGGTCTGAGGCTGTGCTCCGCCTGTTTCTTTTGGCAGTAACTGCCAAATAGCGGTCCTCATTCGGCGTTGTAACTCTGGGGCGACCCGTGCTGTAACGCCTACTCACATTACCATCATCTTGGAATCGTTGCCAAAGCCTGGAGATGACACTCTGAGCAATTCCAAGTTCGTCTGATACTTCGAGTTGCGTACGCCCACATTCCAGACGGCTAATTCTACCACGTAAAAAATCATCCAAATGCGTCCTTTGTGTCATAACTATTCGGTTATTGCCCTGAAATGCTTATAAAGCGCCTGCGAACAATTTTACTTCTTTGCCTTTATTCCTTATATATCACTCTCTTACAATCTCGTCATTGTGACATACCATCGGTGTCATCAGGTTACTTCTTGAAATTTGCATATGATTCTTGAAGATGTGTGTAGTGATTTTACTGGTGATATATTTATTTTAGAGTTCGATTTCTGCGTAACTCCGAATTATCCTTAATTTATGGACATGAGTGTATAATCCACCTCAGTTCCATAGTAAAAAACAACAAAGGAAGCTCCTGCGCTCCCTCCGACCCCAGAACCAACTGTATAAATATCAAACACATCAACAGTTGGATTACTTTTATCAAAAAAAGTAGTCCAACTAGAACTTGTATCTATGATTGCAGTAATTTCTTCTCCATTATTGATGCGAGCATACTTTAAATATACAGTTGGTGAAACACCTGAATTCTGGTTCACGGATAAATTATTTTGAACATTTGTCAAGTCTAAACTCTTAGACGTACACTTTTTATAAGTATGACCCCTTTTCATTACATTTCCTGAAAATAATTTATTTTTTTGGTTGAGGACAATCCGTCGCTATATGTCCATAATTACATTTGAAACATTTTGGCTCACCCGTTTCATTGCGGATACCAGAATTATATTCCCTTTTCCTATCTTCTATTTTATAAAATTTATCTCTCAAATTGTATTTATTATCAAAACTGTTTTTAAAACCCACTTTGAAATTACAATCTGTCTGCATAGAATCGTTAACATTTCTGGGTCTTGAATACTGATTATAGGATCCTTCATAAAATTTAGAATCAAATTTAGGCTTAGAATCATGCCTAAAGGTTTTATTTTCTACTTCAAGTAGAAAATAAAACCTTTAGGCTTTATTTTCTACTAAAGTACTCTATAAGTACTTTTAAAGATAAAGTACTTTTAAAGATTTTCTACTAAAGTACTCTATAAGTACTTTTAAAGATTTTCTACTAAAGTACTCTATAAGTACTTTTAAAGATAAAAGTACTCTATAAGTACTTTTATCCCTGCCCGAATATTTTCATATTCATACAGTTTTTCAGCCAACTCTTCAGGATTAATGAATTTAGACCAATCGTCAATGAAATGATCTCGTATAGCAGCGGGGGACTCTTTTCTTTAATTGACCCGTAATAATAAGCTGTTTTAAAGAGTTAAAATCTGTTACATTTAATCCAGCAAGCCACTCTTAAAAATAATTTTTTAATTCATGTGTGAAGTCCATCCACTTATTGCGCAATGTTTTAATATGGGTTACAGCTAATATAAAAGAAGTAATAGATGATACAGAAAAAAAAATGATGGCGTAGCAAATTATTTATATTAATTAGCATTTATTATGAAATAGAAAAACTGGCTCTGGTTATTTCTAAGAAACAGTGTAGCTTCGGCAAGTTCTTTGTTGGAAGGCCACAGATCCGATATGATAAACTTCAGAGCTGAGAAGAATCATTCGACACTAACTTGAGTAGGAGGAAGAGCTGTTACTGTTAGGGCTACTTTTAACTTTTCAGGATAGATTTTTATAAGTTCTAAAAGAGCTGTTTTATTAGCGCAATCAAATTTCTCTAGTTCTTCAAAGGCCGTGTATAAATCTTGTTTCTATTTTTACTTCCTTGTACGAAGTAAAAAGGAAGTATTGTAATCGCGAAAAGTTTCAGGTATCATATTTCAACGAAAATATCTATTTTGACCGCTATCGAATGCAATTTAACGATTTTTTTTGCATGATATCTGTACGTAAGGATAGAATAAAAGACTCTTTTCCTCCAAAAATATTACAAAACTGCTTTAAAATGAATTATGAAGAGAATTTTTCGTGGCGTCTGTACGAACGTATGTACCTACGTACGTACGTACGTATCTCGCATAACTCAAAACCGCGTAGCCGCAGAACGTTGAAATTTTGTATATAGGACTGCTATAACATGTAGATGTGCACCTCGTATTTTGGTTGCAATCGGCCGCACCAAACATATATAAATATATTTATATATATATATATATCCACTCTGTTACCCGGCTCAGTGATCTCACTTTCTTTACTAATTGTATTTAATTGTTGTAAGTTGTACATTTTTGCTTTAAAAAAGATTAAATTATGTTGTTCTCATTTTTCAGTAAAGTTGTTTACGCCTTTCGTATATCTGGAAGCAATAATTGTACAATTCTCAAGAATTTAAAAGCTCTTTAAGTGCGGCTAAGCCTTAAGTTTTAAATAACATGGAGGACATATGTAGTTCATCACTGGAAGAGTATAATAGAGACTCGATTGCAATGTCTACAGTTTGACTGTCCTGATTCGAATTCTCCAATTGTTCTGAGAATAATTTCATTCGTAATGAAAGTTCATAGATGGCTTTCTTTGCCTTTTTAATTTGTTCGTCATCCAAGAAAATTCGATGTTTCGGATCTTTGTATATTAAATCCAGCTAGATCTCGTTGTCTAGCAAACTAGTTTCTCTTTTCTTCGTTGAAGAAATGATTCCAGCCTGCAATAAACCTTCCATTTCAAAAAGAACAAACATCCCATTCTTCCATTCTCGCCTTCTGTTAATTCTTCAGATTGTAGCTTTTTTGTGGCTGTGTACAGAGTTGAAAGAAGAGTTTCCAATTCTGCAAGATCATTCCACAGTCTTTCTGTTAGTGAAACATTAGGGTTATCTACATCTTCTAAGAACGTTCTTAAGTCTAACAACCTCTTTATCATCAAATATGTACTTCCTTATCGCGTTGCTTGATCAATAATTGCTCCTTTTCCTGCTCGCTTTCTAAGAATGACATGCATTTTGGGAGTTCTTGCCATTATTGTTGCTTACCTAAATTTACCAGTGAGATTTGTAACTAAATGACTCTGTTTAACCACGTATGGCAAATATCACATCCATCCTCCTACCTTATATTTATGTATTAATATGTCAATAAAATGGAAAATAACTCTTTATTAATATATATAATTAATAAATAAAAATAATAACTCAGCTTGTCATTAATTTTTTTCAATTCATTTTAATTTCATGTTAAATTCAAACTGTCCAACAAAAACTGGAGTCGGAGTCGACCTGTTTGTAGCAACTCCAGCTCTGACTCCTTTTACCCCCAAATCTGCCCGACTCCGATTCCACAGCCTTGGTTATTGCAAATTAAATATTTATTATGTTATTAATTTTGCATTATTATAAATGAAATGTTTATTATAACGTTTGATATGTGTGTAAGCAATTTTTTTATTTCATTTTCAGAACAAAACTCGGTATTTTGTATTGGTGAGCACTGAAATACAGCATGGACAACGGATTGTGACTGTCCGTTCTCCACTCAAGGTGTGTTGAAACATTTATGTATTTATGTATTTCTGTTGTCTATGTAGTTCTATGTACTTTTTCTATGTATCTAACTGTTTATTAGTTCATTGAAGGTGTTTTACTCTGAGCAGAAAATTGTCATCGATTTCTAATCAATTTTGTGATAAGCTATCGAGTGCAAATCTTGCACTCACAAGATGTTGATGACGGAACAGCTTTAGTATAACCCACCTTCAAAATTTGGCGAATATTTTTGACGCCAAAGCGCGTCAAATATCGTGTTTTGAAAAATGGTTACCATCAAAATTTCCGATGAAACTGCGTGTTTCAAAAATGGCGACCATCTTGTTTTTACCAGAAATCATGGATAATAGACTCAAAAATCATGAATGGATATAAATTTACGACTATTATACCATGATTTTAAAAGGAACAAAATGTGGGTACTTATCGAAAATCCCGTCGACTACAAGAAACAGCATCAATCGCGCCCCCCCCCCAAAAAAAAGAAAAGAGTTTACTAAAACAAAAATCGTTCTATTCTTATTTTCTTTGAAATTTATTATATTATCATTTATTTATATTTAATTTTTCATTAAAAATTTCCATTATTTTTTATTAAGGAGATATACTGTAAAAGTACCTATTTTCGCTAAGTTTTAATTTTCGCGAGAAAATAAGTCTCGTGAAATACTTTTTTTCGCCTCGAATAATAATAAAAAATCAGAAATTTTTCATTTACCAAATTTCGCGAAGTCACGGATATCTTCATTTTCACGAAAATTACGGCTCTCGAAAAAAAGTGCTTTTACAGTAGCTTTACAGGTCCCAAATTTGAATCTTTTTATTTACTTTTTTTTTTTCCGAAAATGCGTGATGGGGGGGAAGGAGTCTTTACTCAAGAATAATAACTAACACGTGCAATCAAGGAATGTTTAAAGCGTGTTTGAAGAATACTTGTAAAAGCACGTAGTGTGACGTCTTTTATTTAATAGGCAAAAATGTTCGACGGGATTTTCCGTAAGTACCACAAAATGTTAAGGAATGGTTAATGGAAATGATTAAGGTTAAAAGGATGTAATTTTTAAAACAATGCCGAAAACGTTTAGATATTTCTCCCTTAACAAATAATTATGTAATTAAGAATTAATTAACTGTTAATTAAGCTTACTACAGGCGAACCAAGATCTTAACCTAATTGATTTCTCAACCTCACACATTTTGCATCTCCAAATACTACCATTGGACGACTTATAAAGTATTTCTCCCGCCTTCTTGGCATGCCTTCGTGGTGTGGTGGTCTGCACGCTGGGCGCCTATTCTAGAGCTCCGCGGTTCGATTCCAGGTGAAGGCGTTCCTAATTTTTCACATCTCCTGCTTCCAAAAAATACCTAATGTCTCTACAGTGGCGCTTTAACTAAGAAAAGTGTGGTGGATGATGAACCTCCACACCCAGGATTTGGCAATTGGGTCACCTAAAATCCCCAGTCGCTCTATAAAAGGAGTGTATATAAGGTATTTCTCCAGCCTTCTTAGCGTGACTTTGTGGTGTAGTGGTCACCACACTCAGCGCTTGATTGAGAGGTCCGCGGTTCGATTCCCGGCGAAAGCGTTGCATATTTTTCTTCTTGCCGGCCTCCAAAAAATACCTAATGTCTCTACAAACGTCTTGTTACTTACTAACCTACATGGTATCTTACATTTTTTACAACAAACTCTATCCGTCAATAATCCACAATCCATCAAAAATCCTCTCAAATCGTTTCCATTTTCCTTCATTTCTACGAGATTGAATTTTAATTGATAATATATGATATTTTATTCACTTAAAACTACATTCTCACACTGGGAAGCTACACGTCATGGAGATGATTTTTTTCATTCTGCATAGAAGTGTTGGAATTCGGATGCTGCAACTGCATTTAATAGTTCTCAATGTCTCAAAATAACGTCTTTTGAGGTGGATTTTCAATCTTGGGAATAGAAGAAAGTCAACTTACTCCAGTCCAATGTAATCTCCATGCAGAACCGAACTCATCGTAATTCTTGGTTTCACATACCTGACTTTTTTTTCCAAATCTTTCAAAAAAGCTGCTTCACTCATAAAAAAAAAAAAAAAAAAAAAAAAAAAAAAAAATCGGCAGATCTTCAGTTTGCTCGTTTTTGTTTGTTGTGGTCTTAGTGAGTTTCGTCTGTGCCATTCTTGGCTGTGGCGTTCGTTTTTGAGTGGTACTGGAGGTGGTATTGGAGTAGAACTTTGAGTGGTCCCTAAGGCTCATCACCTGTAATGACACGTTCTGGAAAATGGAGATCGTTTTCAGTCCGCTCCAAAAATCAAGGCATTTGCCAGTTTTGTTATTCTTTTGTTTCTGTGAAAGATTTTTAGAGCAATTTTTGCGCAGATTTGTCTCATCCCCAAGTCATTTGTCAAAATTTAATGAATGTTTGTGTAATTTAAATTCATTTCTTCTTCGATCATTCTAACTATCTATCAACGCAACACAAGAGATCCCGGATCTGCAAACATTTTCCTCAGTTCTTGGAGTTCCTGGCCCTTCCCTGGAAATTCTGTCTTCAACTGTTTCCTTTCCTCCTGAAAACGCCATCAATCGCGTAGAAACCTGGGTGTCTCACAACACATTATCTCCAAAATCTGCTATATAAACTTGTATGGATTTATATTTATTCTGAATAACCATTTAAATTTATGCTTTCTTTCCCATAAGCCTTCTTTTCCCTAATTGTCAATGGCAGAATATTTAAATTTGGTAGCGCGCGTGAAAGAATGCAAATTCTACCATGAGGAGAAACGTTTTAAGTACTGAATTCTAGAAGGGAAAGTTAGAGAGAGTGGTCAAGCACTGTACCTTTGTAGCGTGAGCTTCTGGTTTTGCATTTGATACAGTGAACGGTACTATCTTCTGTAGTAACCATGGCGACAGAATACGCTTTGGCTTTATAAAAGCTTTGTTTTGGATATGGCTTGGTGCTGGTGCCTACAAGGTGACTCCTTGTTGCTAAAACAATCAACTTTATTAACGCAGCCTTTTTATAAAAATCAGAGAAACTGCTATGCGATACTCGAACCTTACAGGACTGTTGGTAACGGCAATGTGGTCTCAGCTAGTTGTGCGCGTAACTGAACATAAGAAAGCCACAGCACATTTCGAGGTTAAGAAATCGGGATTGGTTGACAACGTTGTAAAACGAAAGGTTGTCATAGTCAGTTTCGTAAACGAAACTGATTATGACAAATGATAAATCGGCAGTTAATTCTACAGGGTGATTCTAAATACTTTTACAAATTAAGAGGGGTGATAGTACTCATCCAGATGAGCAATAATTACCATAGAACATAGGGTCGCATCCCACCCTGAGAGGCAGAAAAGAAGAATATTAGGATTCCAATCTGAACTTACAACAGTGTTGGGAGGGCGAATAAACGAGACCAAATGTTGCACAATCAGTTTAGTGACAAACTCACAGAGGGTGCACGAAACGGATAAAACCGAAAACTTCGCGTTCGAGTGTTAAATAGAGCTGAGACTTTGATCGCTAACACTGAAATGCGCGTGTTTGGTTGGCAAGGTCTCAAACTCGCAAACGATTGCAACAAGTTAATTATCTAATCAAGGACTGAATATTATCAACTAACTCCAACGTCCGCTGCATGCCGAGATTAGCATGAAAAGCTCATGCTGCGTTTCGTTTCGGCTGTCAGAACTTCGTGTCACATAGAAGGGCTTTTCAAGTAGAATGAGCGCAGCAGAGTAAGTCCAGGAAGACAGGATAGAAGATGGCTAAGAGAAAAACAACTGCTACCTTGATATCAGAAATAATCAGCAACACAGCCTTCAGGCTATAACGTTGAAGACAGCTTCAAAGCAGAGCACCAGAGTGCAGCTCCCGACTCGGTTCGATCGTTCTCAACGTACTCTCGAAGACTACACGCTACAACTCGGGATGCACACGACGATACGCTCGATAGACTCAACGATGCACACTCGACGACCAACTCGACGCTAGACTAGATTAACTTGATAGACTGCGACATACTCGATACACTCGCGATCGACTAAGAGACTCTGACGAGATACACACTCTTCCAAGTACCAGCAGGATTTATATAGCTTTTGGTTGCCAAACCAGTAAAAACTCGTTCCAGAAGGTTCTCCATCCGTCTATGGCATATCTAAATTTATTATTTTAACGCAAGTATTTTAGCAATTGATTAGAAAAACGTACTCGTAAGCATAATGGAAAATTCATTTTTTAGAAACTTCTTTTCTGGTGGCCGCGGTTTAGCTAACGATGAAAGACTGAAAATAGCATTTTGAGTTTTCGACATAATCAGTCTTCTACAATGAAAACCCCCCTATACTGACACTATGCAATCACGATAAATTAAGTAGATCTGTAGACACATTAGGTTTTTTTTTTTGAAAGCATGAAAAATGAGCAATGCCCTCCCCGGGAATCGAACCACGAACCTCTCGAATACGTGCCGAGCATGCTGACCAGTACACTACGAGGGCATGCTAAGAAGGCGGAAGAAATGCCTTATATACTGCCCCTTTTAAAGGGCGACTGGGGATTACGAGACCCAATCGCCAAATCCTGGTGATGGAGGATCATCATCCACCACCCATTTAGTTCTGACGCCACTCTAGACACATTAGGTTATTTCGAAGCAGGAGAGATATGGTATGGTCACTTTACTTAACCTGTTCCTCCAAACTAAGTTAATGGCACTGCAGTGTTAGGAAGTCATCCTAGTCATTGGTAGCAATCTGACGGTTAGGTCGCCTTTCTACATTTTACATTAATCTTTAGTTTCTTGGATATAATTATTTTCATTCACTTGCTTCATTATCTCTAAGATGCCCTTGTTGCAGTAATAGTCCGTGAACAGTCTGTTCACTGGATATGTGATGTAGTCGGAAGGAAAGAACTGCTGTCGAAGGTACTCTGTCAGAGGGCTGGAGAGCAGGTAATGAAATGCGTCGGCGTCTTCCCC